GAGGGTCAGAGTCATATCTGAGGAGATACGGTCTGCAGGCGATAAGGGTCCCAGATAGTGACAGAGAATAGCGAAGATGGTGATAGGGAGGGTGGCGATGGAGGGGTGATGATGTACACAGATGTTTCATCAGAATCATTATGAATGTCAATGGAGATGGAAGAGGTGCCGATCGTAGGGACGAAATAATTGTAAATATTTTTTTATTTATGAAATAATTGTATATATATTGTAAAATTTATTTAAATAAGGTAATGGAATATTAGATACATACTATACACAACCAATTAAGATAATTTATAAATGAAATATCTAAATAAGAAATTAAATTAAATATTAATTTTTTATTTAATTAAGTGATTAAATAAATAATTACACAACGTAAATAAATATTAAATAAATAATATACATAACTATGTCGAAGAGGACCCCTAACTTGACAGATAACATCGCGAGTTTGGATGACACCCTGTACGAAACATATTATTGACGTGCCAGAATAAATGGTTAGCAAGAGGATTAGATTGCTGTCACAATACATTGTTTCTCCGTACACGATTGAGGCAAAGTAGAGAAAATACATTGTTTCTCCGTACACATCGAGGCAAAGTAGAGAACCTTCGTTTGACAGACGGTTGCCCAACCTCTTCCGTGAAATCGACCCGGTGATTGTGAAATCTTCGCATTGAAGTTAGGACCGTAAATGGATCGGATCTACTCAAATCCGATCCGATCCGTTAATAATAATTATCCTATTTTATCCGATCCGATTCAATAATCTGACGGATATTTGAATATTAAATCCATATCTGATTAACTATGTTATTGGATATCCGATTCGAAATTGAAAAAAATAGATGAATAAAGATTTTATTTATTTATCAGATTAGATTGACCTATATCCATATTTGATTTATTTAGTTAACGGATTATCGGATTTGAATCTTGATTGGGTTATCGGATTGAGACCCTAAATCCATCTCCCATTAATTTCATCAGATTCAGATCAAAATTCAATCTATTGACAGCCCTAATTGAAGCACATTGAATTTTTAGTATCGAACGTGGCGTAGAGTTGATAAACTAAACACACATTAATATACATAACTATGCCGGAAATGACCCCCCAAATTAACAAATAATGTCGCGAGTTTGGATAATGTGACATTATGCCGGAGAAGACGATGAAAGTAACATTATGTAAGAAATTATGCCGGAGAAGATGATGAAAGCGACATCCGTCGATGGTACGTTTCCCAACCTCTTCCGTGAATTCGAACCAGGGAGATTGTGGAATATTTGCATTGAAGTTAGGGTTCTAAATGGATCGAATCTACTCAAATTGGATTCTATCTGTTAAGAATAATTATTCTGTTTGATCCAATCCAATAATCCAACGGATATTTGAATGTTAAATTCATATATGATTAACTATGTTATTAGAAATTAGATCCGAAATTGAAAAAATAAGAAAAATAAAAATTTTATTTATTTTTCATTGAAAATCATAGCCCCAACAAGATTTTTATTAATTATTTATTTAAAAAATATTTGAACTATCTTGATGGGCTCACTTATTATAATAGAAGGCCTAAAACACACACACACACACACACA